ACCAGTGTTGGTTGGCACAGATGTGGGGAGAAAGGGACTCTCCTTCACTGCTGGTGGGAATGCGGACTGGTTCAGCCTTTTTGGAAAACAGTATGGACAATTCTCAAAAAATTAAAGACTGACCTCCCATCTGACTCACAATACTACTCCTGGGAATATATCCTGAAGAGGCAAAAAAGTATCGTCGAAATGACATCTGCACTTGTATGTTCATTGCTGCACTGTTCACAACAGCCAAAATCTGGAAAACACCCGAGTTCCCAAGAACAGATGACTGGTTAAAGAAACTTTCTACACAATGGAGGGCTATGCAGCTGTTAGAAAAGATGAATTCATGAAATTTACATACAAGTGGTAATGCATGGAAAGTATCATGCTAAGTGAAATGAGTCAGAAGGAGAGGGACAGACGTAGAAAGTCTGTACTCATCTGGGGAATATAAAACAACAGACAGGGGGATGAACACCCAAGAATAGTTGAGATAAGTACCAGGAAGTCTGCTGCACAGCCTGGAAGCTGGCAGCAGATGCTTGGGGAAAGGCAGCTCAGATAGAGAAGGGAACACCAAGTAAAGGGTGTTTGGAGGACTTATTTGATATGCGAGATGCATGCTGAAAGTAGACTATAGACCGAACAGGATGGCCACTCAATACCTCTATTGCAAGCCACAACACCCTAAAGAAAAGAGAGCAAAAGGGAATGCCCTGCCACAGATGTGGGGCATAGTGGGGGGGATGGAGTGGGGGGTGGGAGGGCTACTGAGTTCATTGGTGGTGGAGAATGGACGCTGGTGAAGGGATGGGTACTCGATCATTTTATAACTGAAACCCAAGCACGAAAGTTTGTAAGTCTACAACTGTATGTCATGGTGTTTCACTAATAAAAAATTTTTTAAAAAAGAAGTTGTCTATCAACTTAAATGGAACTGGTGGGCACCATTTAAAGTGGAATAAGTCAGAGGGAAAATACCAGATCATCTCACTCATATGTGGCTATAAAGAGAAACAAAACAAGAAAATAGGTAGTATCAAATGATAAGAATCCCTTTGCCTTTGATTGCAGAACCGAAATTACCAAACTCCGAATGAGGAGGGAAATGAAGAAGCAAATTAAAAATGATATAAGGACAGTGCTGGGGGATCTTGGTTACTTTGGCGGTGATGAAAGTGTAGTGATTTTCTACATCAAAACCATAAAAGTTAACAGAATTGTAACTGTATGATAACATTAGTTTGTCCTTTCTCCCTTGCCACAGGGCGCTTAGGTTTATCGGGTTACACCCATCACAGTGCTCCTGAGTCACTCCCATTCCTCTGTATTTATCTGTAAACTCTTCTCTGTGCTCTCCTCCCCAATCGGCTAATCTCCTTTTCTCCCTAATCAGATTCTGTTAGCTTGTAAGATCAGATCCTTCTAAGGACACTTGAACTTGTATTGTAAGTTATGTCTTTTGCATAGTTTACCTTAAAGCAATGTCCTTTTTGTATGGACACAGGATGGCAGTTAATATTATGCTTTGTAACTTGGGAGTTGATTGACTCCGAATAGTATTTACTCCTGGGCATCTGCTTTCTTGACTCAGTTGCCCTTTAGTTCCTAGCACCTCAAAAGCACGGCCCCAATGAGGGACTGAATGGACCCAGGGCAAGTTGTGAGCTACCCTTGCATCAAAATGGGCCTGGCCAATGCGCCACAGTACTGAACTATAAATTGAGGGCATGATCATGGACAAATGCTGTCATGATCAAAAAGTAAGTAACAACGAGACTAGGACCCTGCTAGGGCTAGGAAGACTTAACCGGGCCTGAGGACTGCGGAATATGTAGTGAGATGTCCTCAAGAAGAACCAAACTGTAAGTTTATATCTCTTACTGTGCTCATATAGAATGACATTGCTAGAAATTTTAGAACTAGATTTACTACAACTATTTAAGTAGATTACTAGCTGAGGAAAAAACACACCCTCTTTGGGATCCCACCCTTGAGCAGATCTCCTAGTAATCTGGAATAATCTCTTTAGATGAGATTTTATCCTTGAGTTAATCTCCTGGAGGAGTGGTCTTACCTCTCTTTGTTGATTTGTTAATGTTCAACCCACCTTTGTGTCACCACCCTATGTGATTGCTGTATAAACTAAGACTGTAGGGCTGAGACGGAGGCGGAGACAGAGGTGGAGGCTCAGCTGAGGCTGAGGCTGAGGTTTGGGCTCAGGCTCCAGAGGGCAGAGTCAGAGGTGAGAGGGGCTCAGGCTTGAGAGAGAGAAGCAGAAGGGGAGTGAATATTTGAATAAACTACAATTGATATTGACCAGCCTGGCCCTGTTCCTTCCTTAGCCTGCCCATCACAATCGACCTCCCTGGGGTGGGGGAAGCGGCGTGAGTTTACCAAATGTGGGCGGCGGGAGAGATAGAGTGCTGCCAGACTTTTGAAAGCACACAGTAACAATGTTAACTAAACTATATTTTTTAAATAATAAAAGAAGATAATCGTTTTGAGTGATAGCAAATGTAGTTAAAAATAATCTCTGGATGCATTTCTGCTGGGGCTGGAGCGATAGCACAGCAGGTAGGGCGTTTGCCTTAGCCGATCCGAGTTTGACTCCTCCGCCCCTCTCGGAGAGCCCGGCAAGCTACCGAGAGTATCTTGCCCGCACGGCAGAGCCTGGCAAGTTACCTGTGACGTATTCGATATGCCAAACACAGTAACAACAAAATCTCCAATGGAGACGTTACTGGGCCCACTCGAGCAAATTGATGAACAGTGGGAGGACCGTGACCGTGATCGTGACCGCATTTCTGCCAAAAGCTGCTGGGTTTCGAGATTTGATTCTAAGTCTCTGGGATCAGAAATGCATCTGGACCACATACACGGCCATGGCTCCAGAGGCAGAAGGACTTAATCCAGAGCCCAGCAGCTTGTGGCAGAAAAGTGAATGGACCATGCGTTAAACTACGGCACCATGCCTCCCCAGGAGGGAAAGGGTGTTGCTCCCTTCTGCCTTTCTCCTCCTGGCAGCAAGGTGGCCGCTGCCTCAGAGCTTATTGAAAAGCCAAGTATGAGCCTCTGAAGTCTCATGGGAAACGGGACGGTACCGGCTCGTCCCTCATGCCCTACCGAGGTCACGCGTTGCCCCCCTTGAGCGACTCTCTGGCACGGTCATGGATCCAGAGGCAAAAGGAATTAATCCAGAGCCTGGTAGCTTGCGGCAGAAAAGTGAATGGACCATGCATTAAACTACTATGCCATGCCTCCCCAGGAGGGATAGGGTGTTGCTCCCTTCCGCCTTTTCTCACCCCTGGCAGCAAGGTGGCCGCCACCTCAAAGCTTATAGAAAAGCCAGGTATGAGCCAGTGGTGACGGGGCAACTGCAGTCTCATGGGAAGGGGTGTGGTACCGGCTCGTCCTTCATGCCCTAACGAGGTCCTGAGTTACCCCCCACGAGCGGCTCTTAAGCACAGCCACAATACCAGGCGCACAGAAACCAATCTCTAAATTATCTGGTCTTTGCAGAATTCCAAAATTGCGTGGCCGCAATAGTGGCCACACAACATTATATGATTCTCATAACCAGCTATAGAATACAAAGTATTTCACAATGTGTTTTCAGCAATTCTGATTGTTGGGGAGGGGGGATTCTAAACAATAATGGTGCATCTTTTGGCGAAATGATGAATGTAATCAATGTAGAGAAGAGCAAGTAGAAATCATCTGACTCACATGGCATTGGGTGGGGTGCGGGGTATATTGGGGTTCTTGGTGGTGAAATGTGAGTACTGGTGAAGGGAAAGGTGTTTGATCATTGTATGACCGAGACTTTAACCTGAAAGCTTAGTAACTTTTCCTACAGTGATTGAATAAATAAATATAAGACAAAAAATAAATAAAACTATGGGAAAAAAAGTAAGGTGGAGTTCATGCCCAATTCAATCAGCTAATCAGTGGCTGAATAAATACCAGTATTCCTACATAAAAAATAATCTCTGCCATTCCAGGGGGCTGGATATATAGCATAGCACTTGCTTTGCATGGATCCAATCGGGACATCATCACCTTGAATGATTTATGGCTCCTTGAAACCAGCCAGGAGTGATCCCGGAGCATAGAGCCAGGCCCTGATATGACCACAAGTAGAGCTGCTGGGTGATGTGGAAGCTCAGTTCCTATTTTTCTGTTGTTAGTTCATATTGTCTTTCCAAAAGGATGGAACAGTCAACATTCCAACCCGTAGTGAATGATGGTCCCTTCTCCCCACATCCATGCTAACAGTGGTGGTTGTTGTTCCCTTTTTGTGCAGTCTTTTGGTGTCAGGTGATATCTTATTGTTGTTTTGGTTTGTATTTCCCTTATGATTCGTGAGATAGAGCATTTTTTATTGAATCACCGTGAAATAAGCTTAGAGAGCATATTTTCTTTTTTCTTAATTTTTAGTTACATAAAGTTGTTCACAATAATATATTGCATCCAGTATTCCAAGAGCAATTCCACCACAGTTACACCTTCCTGCCACCATTAGTTCCAATTTTCCCAACCACCACCTAAGCCTGCCCCAGTAGCAGGCCCTAAATGATTTAGTTTATATTGCTTGCTATCATTAATTCACTAAAAATGATCAAAAAAGATTTTCTTAGGAGAAAGTGTGTGAAGATTTTTGTACCTCACCCTGTAGTTATTAAGCCCTTGTTTAATAAATTACTAACATTGTTACAGGATAAGCCTTGTTTTTTAGTATTTCCTTAATCCAGTTTGGTTGTCTTCTAGTTTACATCCCATCCAATGTGGTGGTATACTACTCCTGGTATATCAGTGGTGTAGAGCATGTGATGTCGCTTCAGGAATTCTAAAATTTTGACTGGGGTTATACAGCTGGAGTTAAATTTTTAACTGGATGGTGACTTTGGGCTCCAGAAGCATCTCTGCAGGCCTATCTGTTATAACAATAAAAAATTACTGTTGCCAGTGACTTTACTAAAAGTAATGTAGTCCTGTATTTAACATTCCAGAGGGCCTGACTGGGACACTGGGTTTTATGATGAACAAAGTGTGACAGTCAAAGAGCTACTTACTGAACTGTATGGCAAAGTTGGGGAGATTCGTCATTGGGGTCTGATTCGCTACATCTCTGGAATCTTAAGGAAGAAGGTGGAAGCACTTGATGAGGTACTATAAACACTTCTTAAATTTAAAATTATATCTAATAGAAGGAGCATAAAGTTTTTGGTTGTTTTCGTAAGATACTCAAAATAGGGTTGACATTTATGAATTTAGTATATGAGATTACTATAACTTCACCATCACCAATGTCCCCAATCCTTCCACCACTATTCCTGTGTCACTTAGTCTTGCTCTCCCCCTCTCCCTAGTGCTTGATAAACTGAGTTCATGTAAAAATGTTTTGTATCATTTGACACTAATTTCCTTGTTTTATTTTTCTATATACTCCAGATAAATGAGATAACCAGATATTTGTCCTCCTTCTGACTTCTTTCACTTAATATGATACCCTAGAATTATATCTAGCTTTCAACAAATAGCAAGAGTTTATTTTTATCTGCACAGTATTCCACTATGTATGTGTGTACATATATGCTTATATATGTTGCTTATATATGTATGTATGTGTATGTATATTTATCACAACTTCTTTAACCATTCACAGGTAGTTGGATATTTGGGATGTTTTCATATCTTGTCTGTCATACTTAGCACTGAAATAAACACAGGTGTGCATGTATTCTTTAAGTACTGTTTTTGTATTTAGGAGATAGGTACCAAGGAGTGGAATTGCTAGGTCATATGAAAAGTTTGATTTTTACTTTGTTGAGAAGTCTCTGTGTTGTTTTCCCTAGATGCTGAACCAGGCAACATTATACCAACAATGAATGAGTTTCCTTTTGCACCACCTTCCCACCAACACTAGCTGTTTCTAATCTTTTTTATATATGCCCTATATTTAAATATTGCTTTCTATAATTGTTTTGTAAGCCCCCATCCATTTTAGATGCTCTTTTTCCTTTATGAAGTTTATGATACTCAGCTTTTTTTTGCTTCTGAATGTCAGTATACAATGCAGAAGAATATAATTTGCAGACTTACATAGGTGTTAAAGGTTAAAAAAACTCTAAATATTTAAGAATGAATTTACAGTAGGTTAAAAATTTCTGTTTGTAAATAAAAGCACATCAGCATTCCTTCTTTAAAATTCCTCTTGAATCTTCGTCCATTTTTCTGAGAGTGTTTGGTGTTCACAAAGTTTATGGAAAGCAAAAGTTTCTAACCTGGAGAAACAAATTTTCATGAAAATCTGATATGTTAGAGGAAGGATAATGTTTTTATGATATATCTCTGTAGGCATGCACAGACCTTCTCTCCCACCAGAAACATCTGACAGTGGGACTGCCTCCAGAACCTCGAGAAAAGACCATCTCTGCGTGAGTATTTTTTTACTGGGTTCCATGAAGTTTCTCAGAGTCTTTAAAGGAGCTATATATAGATGAACCACAGTTTTCTTTACCTGATTTGTCTATGGATGATGATGTCCTACATATGTGTCCATCAGTCAGAGACTTTGAGTGTGAGAATATTAATAATGACAAGGCATTACTAGATGAAAGAGAAAACTCACAGGGAATACTATTGAAACTTAGTATTGTTATTGTATTGTTTTACATGTTAACATGCCCAAACTTTCAATTTAAATAAAACAAACAGGGCATTCGGAGTAGCTAGCAAAAAGTCAGTGACACCATGAAGGAAGAAGTGAGGAAAAAGTGAGGAAAAAGTGACTAGAGCACAGAGATGGTGATGAAACTCCATGTTTCTCAGGAAGGAGCAAAGAGCATGGAAGTCATAGTCAAAGGGAGAAAGTGGATAACTGCAGAGAATAGTGAAGTGAGACTCTTCCAAGAGTGCTGTAATCAGATTTCCACTGCTTCGATGGTTACCACTTCCAACTCGGAAAGGTATCCTAGATAGGTCTAGACTGAAGGGTACAGGAGCTTTGAGTGACAGATTAGCATGGAAAATTTAATTATACTTACAAGTCTTCGTTTTGTCATTCTTCATACCAATAAATAGTATGTCCCTTAAATATAATTTCATTCATGTCAGTGCCCAAATTTAAACCTTCAGGCATGCTATCACGGAGCAGGAGAGATAGTATTTAGGTTAGGGAAATTGCCTTGTATGCAGCCTAGGCTGGTTCAATCTCTGACATTGCATATCCCACAAGCATTACCCAGAGAGAAGCCTGAACACAGAGCAAATAGTAAGCCCAAAGCACTACTGGATGTGGCCCAACACTACCACCACCCCCAAAGCAGGTTGTATTTTCATGAAATATTTCCAAAGGAAGTCTAACCTTGTTCATAAATTATCTAAAATTATTTTTAGTGGGTAGCAATTTAAAACAAGACTTTCCTTACTTTTAAATTATCCTTCTGTAGCCAGAAATGAAAGTTGTAATGGAAAATTCATTTTGTAATAGAAAATACTCTCCAAAAAAAGCAAAAAAAAAAAAAACCGTTTGGGGCTGGAGTGATGGCACAGCGGGTAGAATGTTTGTCTTGCATATGGCCAACTCGGGTTTGATTCCCAGCATACCATATGGTCCCCCATGCACCGCCAGGAGTAATTCCTGAGTGCATGAGCCAGGAGTAACCCCTGTGCAATGCTGGGTGTGACCCAAAAAGCAAAAAAAAAAAAAATACTCTCGAAAACCAGAAAATAATCAATGAATAATGGGAAAGTGGAGATACTTTTGCTTATGTCTGTATACCAACACTTTCCTAGTTTAAATATCCTAATTTCTGTCATCTCTGGTATCTGATTTAAACTCCTTCAGGAAAGTTCTGCGATCCATGCATTCAGACTCAATATCATAGGTTCTGTTAGTCTGTCATGAAACCTATAAAGTTCCAGTTACAGCTTTCAGGGAAATAGATCTAACCTTGTATATCAGTTTTCTAGGGCTTCTATAATAAATATTATAGATTAATTGGATAACTTAAACTATAGGAATTTATGGTTTCACTCTCATTTCAGGAGTTTAGAAATCCAAATCGTGTGTCAGTAGGGTTTGTTCCTTCTGTGGTCCGTCCTTCCTTCCTTCCTTCCTTCCTTCCTTCCTTCCTTCCTTCCTTCCTTCCTTCCTTCCTTCCTGCCTTCCTGCCTTCCTGCCTTCCTGCCTTCCTGCCTTCCTGCCTTCCTGCCTTCCTGCCTTCCTGCCTTCCTGCCTTCCTCCCTCCCTCCCTCCCTCCCTCCCTCCCTCCCTCCCTCCCTCCTTACCTCCCTTCTTTCCCCCCTTCTTCCCTTAGTTTTTATTGGCCGTACCTGGTGGTGCTCAGGGCTAACTCTGGCCTCAGTGATCACTCTTGGAGGGCTTTAGGGGGCCATATGTGGTGCAGGAATCAAACCTAGATCAGCTATGTGCAAGGCAGATAATTTAGTCCTATATTATCTCTCCTGCCCCTTTCTTCCGTGTGTGTGTGTTTGTGTGTGTGTATGTGTGTTTCAGGTGATTGAATCCAGGTCCTCACATGTAAGGTGTACTTTACTTCTAAACCACATCCCAGGCCCCTAGCAGTTAGACTGTCAACAGATAAGTTTTGAGGGAACATATTTCAACCCATAACTCCTTGTTCCTGGCAAACATTAACTTTTCATCACAGATCAAATATATTCTGTGACTAGTGTGGACAATCCAGAATATGGCAAAGTCCATGCCCCCAGAATACTTAGAATCATCAAAAGACTCAGAGGTATGAGAAGAGCATTTCTGTGTGGGTATGTGTTTACTGTTGAAACTATCTGTCACTGTCACTGTCCTCCTGCTGTTCATCGATTTGCTCGAGCAGGCCCAGTAACGTCTCCATTGTAAGACTTGTTGTTACTGTGTTTGGCATATCGAATATGTCATGGGGAGCTTGCCAGGCTTTGCTGTGCGGGCAAGATACTCTTGGTAGCTTGCCGGGCTCTCTGAGAGGGGCGGAGGAATTGATCTCGGGTCGGCCATGTCAGCCACATAGAAAAATAAATATATCTGTCTAAGGTATGATATTAAATTAATAAAATAGCTTCCAAAATGCATATTGGAGGGCTGGAGAGATACTACAGCAGGAAGGACACTTGCATGTCATAGGCAGGTTGACAAGGGTTTGATCCTTAAAACTTCATATGGTCCACCAAGCCCTGCCAGGAATTATCCTTGAGGGTAGAGCCAGAAATAAGCCCCAAGCAACACCAAATGTGTCCCAAATGAATAAACAAACAAAAAAATCATATGTTTTCTTTCTCTTTTTGTTTTTTGCAGGGTGTGGGGGGGTCACACCCAGCAATTCCCAGGGTTTACTCCTGAAGTTCTCAGGAGACCACATGTGATACTGGGGATAGAACCATGCAAGGCAAGCAGGAGGTTAGCTCCATGCAAGGCAAGCATTCTAGTCACTGCACTACTGTGCTACTTCTTAAGCCCCTGAAAAGCGTATCTTTACATTACTTTCTAGACACAATAGTGACCTGTCAGATGTTAGAATTAACCATGAAATATTTATCTGAATTGAAAATAGAGCGCTCTCTGGATTTGAGATAGGACCTCTTGGTTTTGGGAGGCAGTGAACCTTGAAGACTTAAAGAAATACACTGCTGTTAATAATGAAGAGATTGAGGCAGTGTCTCGGACTTGGGAGGGATATTTGTAATTTTTCTTTATACTGATGTTTTGAATGGTTTCAGAATTGTGTCTCTCATCACTATCTTTTCCCCCAGACCTCTGCCCTATGAAATGCTTACTCAACTGATAGATGAAGCCAGTGAAGGAGACATGAGCATTTCGATTCTTACACAGGTAATCAGAATTTTAAAACCTTATCTCATGTATGTAATTCAAAATCTTTCAGTTGTTTTGAAAATTTTAATTTCAATTTCTAGACCAATCATTTTCAATTAATCTGGAAATTAATGAGTACTACAAAATTGGCTTTGTGAAACCTAGGTCATAATTTTTCTTTATTCGTTCCATATCCAGGAAATAATGGTGTATCTAGCCATGTATATGCGGACTCAGCCTGGCCTCTTTGCTGAAATGTTTCGACTTCGAATTGGTCTGATCATACAAGTTATGGCAACAGAATTGGCCCACTCCCTTCGATGCTCGGGTATCAATCTAGTAACAATTTTAGGCAGAATTTAAAATCAATGTAGTCTGATTGACTTTATGATCAGAAGAACGAGAATATTAAAGTATTTTTGATCAATAACTTAGAAATCTATACAATTTAAAGTACTGAGATTTTGAAACATTTTTATATTAGTTCTGCATCTTCAAAATTCCACATCTTGGGAGCTCTACATTCCAAATGACGTTCCTCTTAACTTCTCTAGTTATCCAGAGGATGCATTCAACTTAATATGACAAATTGTGTTGGATTCTTATTGAGGCACTGGAGCTTTGGATATCAAATTGAGTCATCAGTTTGATCATCCTACCATTAAGCTGTCTAGTTAGCATAAGGATTGAATAAATGAAGTCAATATTCTTATTAATATTTGCCTGGCAGAACTCTTTGGTATTAACCATAGGTTTCTCGCAAGATAGGAATCTTAGAAAATAGTTATTAAAATTTTGTGTAAAGACTTTATTTAGAAGGTCTCCTGGCCTTCGAAAGGTTTAGTGCATAATTGTATAAAGTATGAGGGGACAAAGGGCCCCCCTATACTGTGACTCTTTATTGTTGTTAATTTTTAAATTTCAATCATATTAACTATCCTCTTAGATCATGATGGTTTGAAAATGGGAATTTATCACAAATAGAAATGGGGAAAATTCAGACATTTTGAAGTTAAAAAAGTTTTAATGAATGGCAAAATAATACATAGAAATTGAATAGAAAATAAATTTACAGTTACAAAACACAATTTTAGAGCTGATTCAGTTAAATTTCTACAAAATGCTTTTAATTAAGTAGCTAAATTTGTTGATTTATGTCCCTCTTAATTATATTCTTTTATATTTAAATAACCATTTAAACGAAGAAAGACAAATTAGTTTATATTTCATGCCAGACATGGCACTTACTTTATATTTTCATACAATTTCTCATTTAATTTTTAAGACAGCCCTCTAGAGAAGGTACTTTTGTTTCACTCTTACTAGTACTACAGCTGAAACAGACAAGTTATATAATTTGACCAAAGTTACATAGCTAGTAAATAGTGAGATTTAATTATGCCTGATTCCAAATGATTTCCATGTAGTCCAGCATATTAATTTGGATTACATATATTTTATATACATTCTCTAGTGATGATATTGAAAAATATTTCCTTAAAGGTTCTGGTGTCAATGACAGACTTTAAAGAAAGGATAAAACACCTAAGTGTTTTTTACTTTTTATTAATATCCTGTTGTTATGTCTCTTTTCCCCCTGCATATTCATAAAAATCATGATCGTTCCTTTTGTTGGTAGTGCTGGAAATCAAACCCAGGCCTCATGCATTGAGGTTTTCTACTGAGCCACATCTCTTTCCCACATTCATAGTACTTTATTACTTATATGATATGTCCAGATCCCTGGGCCTGACATAGAAGACCTTAAGTAGTCTTACCTCTACTGCCTATTTCAATAGTATTTCCCTCTAATTTTATCAGTGCCCACATTTGAAAATTGATGCCTTGGTTTCATAATTTTTAATTGTCTATACTTCTTGTTTGGGGCTAGTTTTGATCAAATTTTTGCTTTTATTTTGTATACATGACCAACCTCTCTCAAATAGGTCATCAGCTTCTTAAAGTCAAGTACTGTGGCATACTTGTTTTTATGAGCATTATTAAAATTATGGGCTGGAGCAATAGCACAGCAGGTAGGACGTTTGCCTTGCACGCGGCCGACTCAGTCGACCTGAGTTCAATTCCTCCGCCCCTTTTGGAGAGGCCGGCAAGCTACTGAGAGTATCTCGTCCGCTTGGCAAAGCCTGGCAAGCTACCTGTGACATATTTGATATGCCAAACACAGTAACAAGTCTCACAATGTTATTGGGCCCGCTCGAGCAAATCGATGAACAACGGGAGGACAGTGACAGTGAGTGATTAAAATTATGACCTACATGTGTTACCTGCATATGCTAATTATTTTACTCTGAAATTGAAGTTTAAGAAATCTTTATATTCTTAATAATTTCATACATTTGTATCTAGCTTCTTTTGAGTCTGTATTTTCAGACTGAGTAGTTACTTAGTTAACACTATATGCATATATACTTTCACTGTCTCTAACTTCAGTTTCACTTTCTCTTGTTCATCTGACTTCAAAAAAATTATGCAAATACTCTAAGATGTAGAAGGGAGGTTGAAGAAGAAATCAAGGACCTGTTTAATCTATAAACTAGATGGTCAGTTGTAAATTATTGATTATTAAGTACAACTCTCTATGTAGTTTGGTGCTAGAAGTTTATTTTGTTAACTCTATTTTTCCAATCATGTGACTCAGAAATTCTAAGGAAGAAATGAAATGAGAAAAACCATGGTGGGTGAGTTAGAATTCCCTTCTAATGTTTCTGTTACTAGCCGAGGAAGCTACAGAGGGCCTGATGAATCTAAGTCCATCAGCCATGAAGGATCTCTTACATCATATTCTCAGCGGCAAAGAGTTTGGAGTGGAACGGAGTGGTAAGTTCAAATAACTACATTTCGACTTTGTAGTATTACGTTTTCTCATTAGTTTAAAACTGCATATCCAGGTACAGGAGATAGTACAGAAGTTAACATGATCAATCCTTGCACATGCTTCCCAGGCATCATTTGGCATAGCCCTGGAGGACCCCAGTAATGTTGGGTTGGCCAAGGTATCCCCAGCACTGCAGGGTCTGAGCAGCAGTGCATTCATGGACCTGTGCACTCAACCACTGGCCCAGTTGACCTAGAGTTCCTGATGGGACCCCTGGAATTCCTGAGTCTCACTAACGAGCTCTCCTAAAAAGTAATAAACTAAAACTGTTTCCCCTTTATTTACAAAAACTTTCCTCCCAGATAAATAAGGTAGTTGTATATAAAATAGTTAAAGATGTCTTCTGGAACACAATTTGGCAAACTATTTTTTCTCATGAAATAACTTATCTCATTAAGTAAACAACTAGTAGATTATTCTGTTAATCTGCTTATCCAGTCATCGATATCTTTCTTGTGTTCCAATTAGCAATACTTTAATGATAGTTACAAGTGGGGTATGTGTGTGTATGCATGTATACATGTGCTTGCAGTTGTGTAGTGTATCAGATATGTCTGATGTATCTTTTCATCTTTAACTTTAGATACATCTAGGGTTTATCTCAAAATAATATTCCAGGAACACTTAGGTTTGGAAATGGTATTTAGTATAAAATTCCTAAAATATCTGTACAAACAAAAAAAGTCACTGCTCATGCTCATCTTTATAAGTGTATATGTACATATATAATGTGATTTAGATGTATATGAGACCTCAGTAGAATAGAAAGCAGTGTAAGACTCCTGAGTCTTACACAGTAAGAATCACAAACTGGTGTAAGACTTAGAAACCTAAGGATTATGCTGAAATTCAGGGTTTAAGATTTTATTAACAAGCACCTAGGTGATACTGATGAAACTGGCCTATGAACCACACCTAAATAGCAAGGAATAATTGAGGGTATTTTTATAAACTTAGAAATAAAATAATGAATATGGATGCCTTTTGAATGTTGTGGAGAAAAAATTTAATTTGATTGTCTTATCTCTTTTAATTTTTCATGCTATTTAGTTTGTCCCACTGATTCCACTATCAGCCCTGCTATTTCTATCCATGAGATTGGTGCTGTTGGGGCAACCAAAACAGAACGAACTGGGATCATGCAGTTAAAAAGTGAGATAAAGCAGGTAATACAGTACTTGAGAGATTAGCTGTACCATTGTCACACATTCTTTTGTAATTGGACTTTGCTAAGGCCATGCATTTTGTTTTATATGCTAATTTTAATTCGAGTCATTTATTTTTCAGGTGGATTTCCGTAGACTGTCTGTCTCAACTGAGAGTCAGGTGAAACAACTAGGGATTTTTTTAACACAATTTAACCTGGCTTTAGTTCTATATTATAATAACTTTCCTTTTTTTCTGAACCAAACTCTTTAGATAATTTAAGGGGGAAAGTGACTTGCCTCTAATAGTAGGAAATTGAAATCCCCAGATCCTGTTGCTAGGATTAACGTCAGTTTGGAATTACTTTTCTTTATAAAACTGGGCTTAAATTTCTCATTTGTAAGAAAGGTATGAGGAGAGAAACCAGATTAGGTCTGGGCTTTATTTTATTATTTCAAATCTTTTTTTAAAAAAGTCTTATCCTGAAATTATATTTTAGATTTCTAATTAGAAATTAGATTTTACTTTGGTAACTTCATCATTAAAACACACCCTGGAAAGAATAGAATGAAATGGAGTTCATGTTTAAGAAATCAGAAATGATTTAGCAGAATAATGGGGCAATGCTTGCAGTTTAGTTTGAAGTAAACTTAATTCCAGAGTTTTCATCAAATACCCTTTATAAAGGCAAGAACAGACTGGAATAAGGAAAGATCTTGAGATAGAAAAATGTTCACTCTAGAGTTTCTTCCCAATAATTGGGATAATCTGAGTGTGTTGTATTGGAAATACAAAAAATATTTTTCATACTTAAGAGAGAAACTGGTATCGGCATACAATCTTTGTTTTGATTGAGTGACTAAACGTGTTCTTAGTTTTTTATAGTCACACAGTATTACTTTTACATTCATTATATATTTAGAACTTTAAGTCTGTTCCCAACTGGATTAGTATACTAAAGATTTTACCTGGATTATTTAATGATTCACTTTGTTTTATTTTGTTTATGGTGCCAGGGATAAAATCCTTTGTCTATGTATATGTAAACCTTGTGTTCTACCATTGAGCAACATCTCTAGCCTTATCTTAAGTTTTTCACACATCTCCCTGTAGGTCTTTAAGAAAGCCTGAAGTCAGACTGTAAATTATTGAGAAACCTAAATTCATTACTTACTAATTTGTAAATAATTGATTTCCATCCCCGCCTTCTGTTTGTTCATTTGTATTTTCCTAGTAATACTTTTCCATACCACTTACCAATGTATTCTTTACTGATATAAAAATAACTTTAATGCAATTTTATTTATTTTACCCTTTATCATGATGTCTTAATAAGGCCATTTTGTTAGCTTTTTAAATGATAACATTCTGGCTTGGTACTTGAGTTGTCGGTAATTTTACTCTACTAATAACTTCTATTTATTGGGTCTGGGGAAGCCAAACCCAGCTGTCCTCAGGGCTTATTCCTGGCTCTGTGCTCAGGGATCAGTCTTGCTAGGTTTATGAGACAATGTGGGGTACCAGGGATTGAACTCATGTGGGTCACATGCAAGGCAAGTGCCTCATCTGTTGTTTTCTCTCTAGCCCTTTTAGAAATGCAAATTTTCATTGCCTGATTCCTCCCTTTTGATTTTATTTTTATTTCCTGTCTTTTATCATAGACCAAGGTGGCCATCCCTGGGTACAGATTTTATATCACTGTCTTCTCTAGTAAATTCTATTGACTTTTTACAGGGGTGGGGCTCCCAAGAGATAATGTGGTGGGGGGTGGGGAATGTAGGGCACTCAGGCAACACTTGAGTGCTTCAGTGGTAAGGACTGAGACTGCGGTGCTGCTTGAACCCTCAATTGCTAGGTTTTTACCAGGGCCACCCCAGTGGACCACGAGGGCCACCGACTTCAGCAGGGCAATACCCAGGCTATTTGATAGGTCATATAGTGTCTTAAGATTGATGTGGGGTCCTGAAATGTAAAGTGTGCATCCCTGACCTCTATGCTATCTCTTGAGCCCTGTCTTGTACCACGTACTGTTCACAAGTGCTTTGAACATGCTGATATGTAACTCATGGCGTATACTGATTTACCAGTAAGAAGCACAAAACAAAAACGTATGGTGTTTTAGAAATCTTTCACATTTAAAAATCTAATACTTGTTTGCATGTCTGTATAGTCTTTGAATTAGATATGAGAATTGTATCAGATAGATATGATAATTGCATATCTACTGTGTGCTAGGCCATGTACAACATGATCATCACAAACCTAAGAATTTCATAGAAATGCAAATTCTTGGGCCTTACCCTAGCTAGGCCTACTGACCCAGAATAGCTGAAGATGAGGCCTGGATTTTAACCAGCTTTCTCAGTGATTCTAATTAACGTGCTTTTCAGTTTGAAAGTCTATGAGTTACCCATTCTTCTGATTATTATTTCATTAAAAAAATAAAATTTGAATGCCAAATTTGTACCAGGTGTTTGAACTGTAGTAGCAAAGGGACAGATATTCTTTCCCTCATAAAGTTTATGTTCTCTGTTTAAATTTGTATTGTTTAAATTAATTTTGCATAATGGGCTACGATTTTTGTTTTATAAGAATTAAGATATTTAGGCTAGATGGCAATTAAATAAATGGAAAATGACTGGATATAATGCTGGTATTTCTGTTGATAGGAAATAACCTGTAATGGATTAGTATAAAATTTGGCCTACTGCTATATCCATATTAATAAAGGAACGCAAAGATATAGAGGATGAGTTTATCTAAAATCTCAAAATTGGAAAATAATCTCATTTTCTTAGCTTTGGGACCACACACTGATATTCAGGGGGTAATCCTGACTTTGCAGCTCTGGAATTACTCTTGAAGGTACTCAGGGGATCATATAGGATATCTCAGATTCAACTGGGTCAGCTGCTTGTAAGGCAAGTGCTCTATCTGCTGTACTATCTCTCTAGCCCCCAAATAGTTCGAATTGTAGTGCATCCCATACCTACCATTTTTGGTTCAATCACAGTAACACCAGTGTAGGTGGTTTTTTATGGTAGAGTCAAAGGCAGTGAAAAATATATCAAATGGCAGTCATATATTTGATATACTGAAATCACTGGTCAATAAAAAATATCTTGGGGTACTTTTCTGTGAATGGTTGACTTGGGCATTTCGCCCATAGGAAATGTGAGTTCTTTGAACAGAAAATGTTTCTGTCATCTTCTTTATATTTATTTCAGAATCTAAACCAACAAAGGCCACTCTCCTACATTTCATCATTAATATTTTATCAAAATTCATTATGCTATAGCATGTATAAGTACTTCATTTGTTTGTATGTCCACATATTTTCTCACTGTATAGCAGGCTGAGGATGTGGCTTAATGGCAGAGCTGAGGCTAGCCTGTGTGAGGACCTGGGTTCAGTCTCTGGCATCACACATAAAAATGCCATTGTATTTATATACCACATCTTATTTATTCATTTGTTGATGGACATCTGGATTGTTACTTGTTTGAGCTATTATAAATAAATATTCCTTCATGTGGACATTTCTCTTGAATATATATAGAGTTAGTAGCAGACATTTCTGGACTTTCTGTGATTTTAAACATTCTGAGGAAATGCTCTTTTCCATATGGGCTGCACAGTTTTAAATCCCCAACAACAGTATATGGGAGCTCCAGTTTCTTCATATACTAACTTCATATTTGTATTCTAAATTCATATTTATTGTCTTTTTATTCTAACAAGTGTGTTTTGATTTGCATTATCCTAATGGATTATGGTACTGAGACTCTGAAGTGCTTCTTGGCTCTTTATCTTCTTTGGAGAAATGTCCATTCAGATTCTTTGTCCTTTGTTTAAAAAGTTATTTTTCATTTTATTATTGAGTTCTAAAGACTCCTTAATAATCTGTATAGAAATCTCTTATAAAATTGTGACTGAGAAATATTTTTTCCTATTAAAAAAGATTGTCTTTCAACTTTTCTTTTCCTTTTTATTTGTCTTCACCATAATATCACCACAGAAATCACTTTCTTGATAGTGTCCTTTGAAGAACAAAGGACACTATCCGTCTTAATTTTGACGGAGTTCAATTTGTCAATTTTTTAATCTAAAAAATTGCTTAATGTAGAGTCAGAATTCTTATTCCTTTTGTGTTTTTCGAAAGTTTTATAGTTTTACCTATCGATTCCCGTCCATGATTATATTTGGGGTTTCAAGATCACCATGTTTAATAATTTACCTGGAGAACTCACAGGATTCAGTATATAGTTTATACTTACATCTATCATGTACTATAGTGAAATGATATAAAGCAAAATCAGCAAAGAGAATAAATGCTTTATACAAAGTCTAGGAAAAGCATATACAAGTTCCAGAGAAATTTTTCAATGAAGTTACACACAATGTGCTTAATTCTCTTTCAGTGAGTTAATTTGGTTTTGGGTTTTGATTTTGGAGCAACACCTGAGATTACGCAGGGCATAGTCCTGGCTCTGAGCTCAGGAATCATCCAGGAGGTGCTCAGAGATCGAACCCAGGTTCACCTTGTGCAAAAGCAAATACCTTACCTGCTGTAGTATACCTCCAACTCCTCTTGCATTAAGTTTTGACAACATGTATGATGAAATGGCAAGCAAGAAAGCTTACTGAAGTCTCAGCACCCAGGGTTCTTAAGAGGACCTGGTGACATAAAGAGCCTTTCACTAGCATATACTAAAACTCTAGACTCCCAGAAGGAACTAACACATTCAACATAATCTATAGTGTTTGCACTAACAGTTTAGGTATAGTGAGCCACAGTTAGAACTTTGGGACTGATAGGATGTGCCCTCCACATCCCCCCAAAAAATAGGTTTTTGAACAGTAGCCAAGGTTTAGTTTTATAAAAAGGCCTTTCCAAAAATAGCACTTTGTCATGCTATGTTCCTCGGTTCTGCACAATGAGAATTTGAATTTAATTTTAACAAAAGTATGGTTCAATTACTCTAAAAACTACAAAACTTCTTGAAAGGAATTAAATATATATAAAATGAGAGATCCTATTTTCATGGATCAGAAGGCTTAATAACATAACAGTATTAATGATTCTAATATTGATCTACAAATATACTATAATCTTTATTAAACCAAGCTGGGCTTGTAAGTAGAAACTGATAAGCTAATACTAATATTCATATGTCACATGTAACCATTCAAGGTGCCCATAATAGTTAATGCTGTCTTTTGAAAAGAAGAAGAGATCTCTACCATTTTTCTAGAAGCCTCCACACCATGAGAGCCAAGTGGAGGAAGAAATGAATACTTAGACTAAAGCACTGTAGCACTGTAGCACTGTCCTCCCGTTGTTCATCGATTTGCTTGAGCGGGCACCAGTAACATCTCACAACAAATTGTGAGACTTGTTACTGTTTTTGGCATATCGAATACATCACGGGAAGCTTGCCAGGCTTTGCCGTGCGGTCGAGATACTCTTGGTAGCTTGCCGGGCTCTCTGAGAGGGGCGGAGGAGTCGAACCTGGGTTGGCCGTGTACAAGGCAAACGCCCTACCTGCTGTGCTATTGCTGCAGCCAGACTAAAGCACTAAGGAAGAAAAATGAAGTAATAAACTGCTTCTTTGAGCACTAGTGGAAGACACAGGAGAAGAAAGCCTGGGTTGCTACAAAAAGGGAATGACAGAGGCCATGTCCTACAGACTAAGACTGCATGCTCTCTAGAATTTGTCCTAATCTATCTAGAATACATGATTATTTTATCACTGAGACCAGTTTTAAGAGAATCTCCTTGCTAATACCAAACAGTCCATTTTGGTCTTTTGTTGTACCTGACATGCTGGACTGTGTCTCTTCTTGGTTGTGGCTGAATGTAATAGGTATATCATAAATCATCCCGTATGTCTTGGTTGGGCTGGAGCCATAGCACAGCGGGTAGGGCGTTTGCCTTGCATGCTGCCAACTTGGGTTCAATTCCTCCGCCCCTCTCAGAGAGCCCAACAAGCTATCAAAGAGTACCTCATGCACACTTCAAAGCCTGGCAAGCTACATGTGACATATTTGATACGCCAAAAATAGTAACAAGTCTCACAATTTGTTGTGAGATGTTACTGATGCCTGCTCGAGCAAATTGATGAACAACGGGAGGACAGTGCTACAGTGTTACATTGGCCATTAATGTTAATTAAAACTTACAGTTTTGGCTGAAGGACAAAAATGACCAGAATTGAATGGTTCATAATTCCCTATTGCAAATCTTATTACATAACTACAGTAATCAGGATTATGTCATATAGGTATAGACTAGGCATGTCCATATTCGATGGAATTCAGGAGAGCCCGGCAAGCTACCGAGAGTATTCGATATGCCAAACACAGTAACAACAAAGTCTCCAATGGAGACGTTACTAGGCCCGCTCGAGAAGTAAATAAATGAATTTTTATTGCTTTTTTAAAAAGATATCAAGAAAACCATGTGAGAAAAAGATTGTCTTTCCATGTCACTTGCAAACAGAGATATTTTACTTTGTTGTCTCACTCTGCATTCTTTCTTGCTTACTACTTGGCTAAAACCTCCAGTACAGAGTTGAATCGAAGTGGGAAGACTTTTGTCTTAATCTGATTCTTGGAGAAAAAACATTAACTCTTCAACCATTCTTTATTAGTCAACTATGAGTTTGGTTTTCTGCCAGTGCCCTTCATAAGACAGAAAAATTTCCTTCCATTTCTTGTTTGTTGAGTGTTTTAGTTATGAAATCCTGTTAGAGTCAATTAAAGCTTTTTTAAGTCTGTCAGGATGATGCAGTTTTTCTGTTGATATATTATATTAGATATTTAAAAAGTGTCTTGAATTTCTGGAGAAAATCCTACTTTGTGAGTGCAGTGCATACTTCTTTTTCTGTTACTAATTTAGTTTGCTAGTATCTTATTGAGGGTTTTTGTGTGTATTCTAGGGATATTGAACTATAGATTTTTTTGTGATGTCTGTCAACTTTAATATGTTGTATTATTGGCTTCATTCTCACAGAATGGGTTGAGAAGTTTCTTCATTTTCTCATTTTCAGAAGAGTTTGGGATTAATCAATACTAATTCTCTAAATATTTGGTAGAAGTAAATAGTTGTTGTAAATAGTAAATCACGATCACGATCACGACCATCCTGTTCGTCGATTGCCTCGAGCAGGCCCCAGTAATGTCTCCTTCGTCCTAGCCCTGAGATTTTTTTTATTTTTATTTATTTATTTATTTATTTTAGTAAATGGTAGAAGTAAATCTGTGCCTTGCTTTTCTTTTGGAAAGATTTGTAAGGAGCTGATTTGATCTCTCCATTATAGATCTGTTTCAATTTTCTGTTTCTTGAATTAACAATTGATTTGGGTGGGTTATGTCTTTCTAGAAATTTGTTCATTTCATCTGATGGTATGTCCTTATAATCCTTTTTATTTCTATAAGGTTGGGGGTGAACTCTCTTTTCTATCCTTATTATACATCTTCTTTTCTTGGACTCTGGCTAAAGAGTAGTCAGTTTTGTTGATATTTATCTTGATGAAAACACATTTTTGTTTCACTGATTTTGTCTGTTGCTTTTTAATTCTCTTTAATTTATTTCTACTATAATCTTAATTGTAGTCATTCTTACTTTTTGCTTAGTTTGCTCTTTTTATATTCTTGGAATGTTTGTTGATTTGAGATCTTTATTAATATAAACACTTGTAAAAGTTTTTTTAAAACAGTGTTTCAGCTGCATTTTAGAAATTTTGGTGTGTTGTATTTTAATTCTTACTCATTTCATAGTGTTTTCTAATTTTGTTTCTGATTTTTTCCGTAACCCATAAGTTATGTAAAGAGTGTGTTATCTAATATTCACATATTGGTAATTTTTTCCAGATTTTCTTTGTTACTGTTTTCTAATTTAATTTCATTGTGGTCAGAGAATACTCGTTGATTTCGGTTCTTTTAAATGCATTGAGTCTTGGGGTCAGAGAAATACTATAGCAGGCATGGCATTTGCCTTTCATACAACTGACCTGGGTTGGATCCCCAGCATTTGTGTGTGGTCTCCCAAGCCCCACCAGAAGTGATTACTGAGTACAGAGCCAAAAGTAACCCCTTAAGCATCACTGGGTGTGGACCCCGAAAAACAAAAATGTTAAAAAGATTATTGAGTCTTATGTTATGACCAATGAGAACAACCAATCTACCCATACATAAAGCTAGAATTTTAACAGAGAAAACCAGGGAAGGACACATGTTAAGAACTTTAGATACAATCAGTACTTCATAGCTCTTCTTATGTAACACTAAGTTGCTTTCTAAAGTGGCTATATCACCAGTTTATGTTGCTATTAGCTATTCATGCATTTGCTAGCTTCACTGTAACCTCTTTATCTTGGGTGGTCCACTTAGAACTGGTTACAATTTTGTGGCATATTTGCTATTTGATCTTTTATTGTATTTTATAAGAAATATATTTTGATTTGTGATTTTTCTTCTCCCATTTCCCCAAGTCACCTGGAACCTCTGTGACTCCAAATAGTGGGTCCTTTCTAAGTGTATATGGTCAATTCACATCTAAAGATACTCGTCAAGGTCAGTGGCAGCGCCGAAGAAGGCTGGATGGAGCTCTGAACAGAGTCCCAATTGGATTTTATCAAAAAGTGTGGCAAGTTTTGCAGAAGGTGAGCATAAATATTTTAGATATACCTTTATTTCATTTCTTGACTGAAATACAACATATCACTGGTCACTGTCACTGTCTTCCCATTGTACATCAATTTGCATGAGCAGGCCCAGTAACGTCTCCATTGTGACAATTGTTACTGTGTTTGGCATATCGAATACGTCACGGGTAGCTTGCCAGGCTTTGCTGTGCGGGTGAGATACCCTCAGTAGCTTGCGGGGCTCTCCAAGAGGGGCGGAGGAATTGAACCCGGCTTGGCCGGGCTGGCTGCGTGTAAGGCAGATGTCCTACTGCTGTGCTATCGCTCCATCCCATATCACTGGTATCACTGTAATTATATAAAAGTCATTAATAAGCTCAGATGTACTACATATAGAAGGAAGCATAAAAATGAAACCACCAATTTGATGTTTAGGCATTATTGATAATGTGGTCTCACTATTGTAGCATTGTTTAGATTTCAAAAACCATCATTTCTCTGCTCTTTGGGCAGTGTTACATTGGCTGCTGATTGAAGGAATTTTGTTATAAAGATCTCACTTTTTGTAGCAAGTAAATCATATATGTTATTAAAATCTGATATGTACCCAATGAAAAGTAGAGCAAAAGGATGTGGCTCAGTGGTAGAGTACTTGCCTTGCATATATGAGGTCCAGAGATTGATTCCCAGACTACTACTACTAATAATAATGATATAGGATCCACCTATGGTAGAAAAGGTGGAGCAGAGTAAGATGAGGAGGACTTTGGGTGGATAATTAACTAGAATTCTGCAATTCTGAACTTTTATTATCAACTTAAATATTCATGAGTCATTTTGTGAGGGTTCTGGGATCTAATATTGTATACTTCCAGGTGGTCTCTGAACATTTCAGACTAGTAAATCTCTTCACTAACTTCCAACTCCATAAGCAGATGTATCTTGGGTCTGTAGTCCAATGTCGCTTCTTGCCACGTAGGACTCATAACCTCATGGTAGCGATACTTGGGCTGCAAAACCTGTGACCTGTGATTACTCAACATCTACCCCATGGAGCATACTTACAAATTATTTCTGTCTCCTGACACACTCCAGTTGTTGAGTTGTCAGTATACCCTTGGTAACAGCATGCTTTTGCTATTTTTCAGTGTCACGGACTTTCTGTGGAAGGTTTTGTTCTTCCTTCTTCAACCACCAGAGAGGTAAGATTCCATAGCATTCACATTTATGTGATTGATAGCTAGTCTAAATTAAATATTTCAGTGATCACTGAAAAATAACAAACCTATGATTTTTTGTTATTGCTATTTACAGGACTATTAATCGTAGGGTTTCATGCACATAACAGTCTAACCCCCATTGCCCACCAAAGTGTCTTTTTCCTTCCACCATTATCTCAGTGCCACTCCCCACACACAACCAATTCCTCTTCCAATTACTCTCCTCTTTCCACTTACCCTGGTAAGCTAAGTTCTGTAGGTATTTGTTATTCCATTATTTTTTCTTTATATTCCACTTGTGAGAGAGATCATTGTATGTCTGTCTCTCTCCTTGTGGGTGACTTCACTCAGCATGGTGATCCATCCGCAGATCTACCTCTAGATGATAATCCACATAGTGGCAAATTGCATGATTTCAAATTTTTTATAACCAAGTAGTATTACATTGCATAGATGCATTATAGGAACTGTTTCTACTTTGGTAGGTAAATATATTGTTCTCTTTCATCTATCAGGTAATACCTATAAAATTAATGCCTACCTAATACTTTACTGTATCACTATATCACTGTCATCCTGTTGTTCATCGATTTCCTTGAGCAGGCACCAGTAACATCTCCTTCGTCCTAGCCCTGAGATTTTAGAAAGTGCCACATTCGAGGCTCTTTCATGGTCAGGGGAATGAGACCCATCATTGTTCCTGGGTTTTGGCATAACGAATACGCCACGGGAGTTTGCCAGACTCTGCTGTGAGGGCAGGATACTCTTGGTAGCCTGCTGGGTTTTCCAAGAGTAAGAACAAGATAATAAGCTTCCGAGAGCTGGGTTTTATAGTCTCTGTATCTTGGCTGTTGATGGGATAACATGATGCCAGGGGCAGTTGGTGGGTGTACCTCCTTTCTACTGGAAGATGAGGGATCTGGGTGGAGGAGGCTCAGTCCTGATCCAAGCAGGCTTGGAGATCTCATGCCCGGGTCCTGCATGCCTGTGTTCCTCTGCCGGTTCCTTCATGCGTGAAGCTTGTCCAAACGTGTGGACAGTGCTCTTAAGCATAGCTGTGGCTAGTTCTGGAGGTCTTCAACTGCCAGGGCTCTGCTCGGGGCAGGGAAGGAAACTCAATATGCCCCCTTCCAAGGAGCCCCGATGAGGACAGGCAGGTGCAGGGGCAGGAGACTCTACGCTGTTCTCTTCCGGGAGCTGGGTTTTATAGTCTCTAGGTCTTGGCCGTTGATGGGCTAAAACGGCACCAGGGGCAGTTGGTGGGTGTAACGCCTCCCTATTGGAAGATGGGGGATCTGGGTGGAGGAGGCCCAGTCCTGATCTGAGCAGGGTTGGAGATCTGAGCCCCAAATAAATTCTACAAATTTATTTATTTTTACAAATCAGATGAACATAAAATGAATGTGAAGAAAGAAGAGAATTTAAAAAATAGAATGAGAAAAGCAGGAAGTAGATGAGAAAAAGATGTAATGGGAGAACAGGTTGTTAGGGCTTAAGTTATACTGGTGATAGGGGACTGTGGTTTAGCTATATATCCAAAGCGCAGACTCAACCACACTGAAAACATGAGCTCTAAGTTGCAATCACCAAACTTTGTAATGGGCCTGTTAAGGTGGCAGTCAGGGAGTGGGTCTCAGGTGGGGGTCGGACATGGAGCATGGGAACACTGGTGGAGGCATGTTGACAATGATGGCGGAATAGGTGTTGAAATATTCTATGTCTAAAACTTTACTGTCAATAACTTTGTAATCATGGCTTTTTAATTAAATGCAAATTATTTTAAAAATAGAATGGGGATAGTAGAGGTTAATTCGAGGTTAATATTAGAGTGAATATATATAGGATCAACTTATTTAATGGTTGGTTAGATTATACTGGTTTATATGAGTGTTTACAGATTTCGATAGAGCATATTGGGTAGTAATCTAAAATCAGTTCACTTCTCATTTCCCCATTTTCCTCATTTCCAGCTTTTCTATGGTAAAATGCATGTAAGCCATTAAATCATAAACTCACAATCATTAGTTATAACTATATGTTAGTGTAATCTGAGCTCCCATTTCTAATTTAGTACTTTAGAATTTTGTAGAGATGGGGCCTGAGCAATAATACGCTTTAAAATATCTTTTGTATAAATCTGATATATAGCCATGACATAGTTTATTAGGTACTTTGATATTTTGATGTTTTCCCAATCGTGCAGAAAATTGTAGATACATAACTTTATAAGAAATCAACAAAGGAACTAGAAGCAACAAGTTGTGAATACTAATAAAGGACAGTAAAACATTTTCCAATAAAATGAAATTATTATACAACCCTAAGGACTCTACAGAAAACATCCTTGAAACAATAGGTTTGAATACTAAAGTGGCAGGCTACAAAATCAACACCCAAAAGTCCATGGCTTTCTTATATACAAATAACAAAAGAGAAGAAAGAGACATTAAAAGAAATCCCTTTCACAATAGTACCTCAAAAAATCAAGTACCTCGGAATCAGTTTAACTGGTCAAGGACCTATACAAGGAAAATTAAAAAAACACTACTTCAACAAGTAAAAGAGGATACTAGGAAATGGAGACACATCCCCTGCTCATGGATAGGGAGGATTAACATTATCAAAATGTCAATACTACCCAAAGCACTATACAAATTTAATGCAGTCCCTATCAAGATGCCCATGACATTTTTCAAAGAAATAGACAAAACCCTCCTGAAATTTATATGGAAAAATAAACCCCCCACAAATAGCTAAAGCAATAGTTGGGATAAAGAAGATGGGTGGCATCACTTTCCCCAATCTCAAGCTGTATTACAAAGCAGTTGTAATTAAAACAGCATAGTATTTGGGCAAGAAACAGATCCACAGACCAATGGAACAGAGCTGAATATTCTGTCACAGACTCCCAAATATATGACCACTTAATCTTTGACAAAGGAGCAAGAAATGTGAAGTGGAACAAGGAAAGCATCTTCAACAAGTGGTGCTGGGGAAACTGGATAGCTACCTGCAATAAAATGAACTGTGATCGTTGTTTAATGCCAGGCACAAAAGTCAGATTAAAGACCTCAGTATCAGACATGAATGCATAAGGTACATAGGGCAAAATGTAGGTAGAACCCTCCATGACATTGAAGCTAAAAAGCATCTTTAAAGGCAGCTCAGATAGAGAAGGGAGCATTAAGTAAAGGGTGTTGGGAGGATCCTCCCAGGATGGGAGATGCATGCTGAAAGTAGACTATAGACCGATCTTGATTTCCACTCAATGTCTCTTTTGCAAACCACAGCACCCAAAAGAGAGAGAGAGAGCAAAAGGGAATGCCCTCCCACAGAGGCGGGGTGCAGTGGGGGAGGGGATGGGGAGGTGGGAGGGATACTGAGATCATTGGTGGTGGGGAATGGGCACTGGTGGAGGGATGGGTACTCAATCATTGTATAACTGAAACCTAAGCACAAAAAATTGTAAGTCTACAACTGTACCTCATGGTGTTTCACTAACAAAAATTTTAAAAAACACCATAAAAAAATCTTTAAGGATGAAACACCACTGACCAAGCAAGTGGAAACAAACATAAACAAATGGGACTACATCAAACTAAAAGCTTCTGCACTTCAAAAAAAAACAGTGACTAAAATACAGAGAAATCCCACAGAATGGGAAAGAATATTTACCCAATACCCATCTGATAAGGGATTAATATCTAGGATATACAAGACACTAGTAGAATTGTATAAGAAAAAAACCTCCAACACCACCAAACTGTGGGGAGAAGAAATGAACAGAAGCTTTTTCAAAAAAGATATACAAATGGTCAAAAGGCACATGAAAAGATGCTCCAAATCACTAATCATCAGGGAGATGCAAATAAAAACAACTATGAGATATCATCTCACACCACAGAGACTAGCACACATTCAACAGGACAAAAGCAACCAGTGCTGGCGTGGATGTGGTGGGAAAGGGTCGCTCTTCCACTGTCGGTGGAAATGCCGACTAGTCCAGCCTTTCTGGAAAACAATATGGGCAGTCCTTCAAAATCTAGAAATTGAGCTTCCATATGACCCCGCAATACCACTTCTGGGAATATATCCCTAGGGTGCAAAAATGCACAGTAGAGATAACATCTGTACCTATATGTTAATTGCAGCACTATTCACAATAGCCAAAATTTGAAAACAACCCGAGTGCCTGAGAACAGATGACTGATTAAAGAAACTCTGGTACATCTACACAGTGGAATACTATGCAGCTGTTAGGAGAGATTAAGTCATGAAATTTGCTTATAAATGGATAGACATGGAGAGTATCATGCTATGTGAAATGAGTTGGAAAGAGAGGGACAGATGTAGAAGAACTGCACTCATTTGTGGAGTATAAAATAACATAACATGAGATTGACACCCAAGGATAGTAGACACAAGGGCCAGGATGATTGCTCCATAGTTGGAAGCCTGCCTTATGAGCGGTGGCGGGGGTGGGGGCAGTAGGGGGCGGGGGAGAAGGCAGCTGGAATAGAGAAGGGATCACTAAGAAAATGAAGGTTGGAGGGAGGATCAGTTGGGATGGGTGTGCTTGAAAGTAGTTAAAGGACCAAACATGATAACCTCTCAGTATCTGTATTGCAAACCATAATGTGTAAAAGTAGAGAGTATCGGGGAAATTATTGCAAATAATATCTAGAAGAAAAGGTACTCAGAAAGTTAATACTATGGTTAGAGTTTCATTCTTGACTTTAGTTCTTTTCTCTAATATAGATAGCTATTCTCTATTTGTCCTTTCTCTGCCTTTAAGCGAGATTCAAATGTTAATTGCAATAATACAGACCTGAATGTTACCTCTAAGAGTCTCCAAGCACTTTAACTTGTTATTTAACTTGATTTTCAGCACAGCTATATCGTCTAGCTAAGGAAGGGATGCTGGCTCACAAATGACAAGAAAGAAACATGAGAGAGGTTTACAAGAAAGAGGACTTATCTTAAGAACTAGTAACTGAAAACAAGACAAGATTTGTGGGTTTATGTTTTTTGGTAGGGAGGCCATACCTGGCAGTGCTCAGGGCTCAGCCCTGGCTCTGTGCTCAGGGATCACTTCTGGTGAAACTCGGGGGACCATATGGGAGAATAGAACACAGGTCTGTTGACTGCAAGACAAGTTCCTTACCCACTATACTCTTGCTCCAACCCCATGAAATATATCACTAATATCATTTTATGAAAAAGTATTCCTCCACTCTCCTTACCCCTTTACCCTAAAATAACTTTGTATTTGTTCATGCCCTTGTTAATCTATCAATATATAAATATAATTACCATCGTTCTGATCATATATAAACAAGTTTAAATTCTCCTTAGATTTTTCTTTGATTCATAATCATATTTATTCTTTCAAATGAGTAAAATTTCATGGTGTTGTTATACTATGCCATTATTTAGGGAACCATTCCCAAGATTAGGCTACTTCTGACTTTAAACTTGTGACTAATTCATCTGTAAACATTCTTGCACATAGAATTTTAACCTCTATTGAATTATTTCCTTAGGATGCACTTCTAGAATTGAGAGTGTGGATTAGAGGACATGGACACTTTTGATTCTTCTTTTGCATCACTGGGTTGACTTACATAAAGACTTACTCAATTGCTTTCAAGGGAATCATGGCACTATTAGCTACAGTTTTGGGGTTATTTTTAGGGGAGATCCGGGGAGAGACACCTGGCCATGCTCAAGGCTAACCCTACCTCTTTGCTTGGGGATCACTTACTGACAGAGAACTGGGTACCATATGTGGTGCTGAAGATAAAACCCAGATTGGTTGTATGCAAGGCAAACAAGAACACTTCCTGCTGTACTATCTTTTTCTGTTCCAATGTTGAATTTTTGTGAGTGTTTTTTTTTTGTTTTTGTTTTTGTTTTTGCTTTGCTTTTTGGGTCACACCCGGTATTGCACAGGGGTTACTCATGGCTCATGCACTCAGGAATCTCTCCTGGCGGTGCTTGGGGGACCATATGGGATGCTGGAATCGAACCCGGGTCGGCTGTGTGCAAGGCAAATGCCCTACCCGCTGTACTATCGCTCCAGCCCCTTGTGAGTGTTTTTTAACTTTCATTTAGATTAGGTGATTTATGTCTCCTGGATGATGGCTTTTAATTACTGATGTACTGTGTCTCAATTACAGATGACACCAGGAGAGATTAAATTCTCTGTTCAGGTGGAGTCTGTACTGAATCGTGTACCTCAGCCAGAGTACCGTCAACTTCTAGTTGAAGCCATCCTTGTCCTTACTATGTTGGCAGACATTGAAATTCATAGTATTGGAAGCATCATTGCTGTGGAAAAGATCGTACATATTGCCAACGACTTGTTCCTTCAAGAACAGGTAGGCAAACCTATTGTTTTCTCAGAGAAGAATATCTGATACTAATCTGATTTAGCATTCAGAGATTTTCATGAAGCCAAGGTCACTTTCCTGCATTCATTAACTTTCTCTGGATGAACTTTATATTGGCTCTGAGCACTGTTCACAGAAGTAAGCTGTGGGACTCTATCACCACATGTTTGAGGGCTGTGTTAGATAGTTGACTGGAACCCAGGAGAGACATTTATGCTTTTCTTTGTATTTCATACTTCTTACAAACTATATTTTGTAGAGATAAAGACTCAATATGATATTATTGCATAGCATATCCTTTCGGTGCCTTTAAAGAAAGGAGAACATCTAGTTTGGGTTTGTTTTGCTTTCATTCCTTGTCTATATTACTTATCTGTTAGTTAAGTAAAACCTTTGGGTTTTGTTTGGGGCCACACCCAGCATGCCCGTGGCTTACTCCTGTTTGTGCAATAAGGGATTATTCCTGGCAGTGCTTGGGGGATCATAATGTGGTGCTGGATATTGAACCCGGGTCTGGTACATGCAAGCAAGTGCCTTACCCACTGTCCTCTTTATTTGGCCCATAAGTGAAACTTTTAAATCTACATTTTTCTTATTTCCTTAATAAAAGTTTTTAAGGAAATTAACCACATTCTAAAAATGCTGATTATCAAAAACTTTCCACATTTTTCCTATATTAAGCATAGAAGCATATACAGTGAAAGATATGTGTTGTTGTCAAGAGGAAAATCTCCAAAACCTGCAGTAGGTACTACAGAAATATGCAAAAGAAATTAATTAAAGTTATCTAAGATTTTCTAGTGCAAAACTAATTTTAATATTCTGGACTGCTATTAGTCTGCATATCAAAAAGTGTGATTTTTTTTGAGAGAGAGAGATTTGGGCCACACATAGTGATGCTCAGGGGCTCCTCCTGGCTGTGTTCTCAGGAGTCACTCCTGACAGTGCTCAAGCAACCATCAAGTACCTAGTATTGAATTCAAGTCGGCCACATACAAGGCAAGTGCCTTACCCCCTGTAATGTTTCTCTGTTATCAAGATATAACCCTTTTTAGGTGTGGACTCCAGCTTGGAACACTTATGGTATATTTAAATTTAATTGATTTAGAAATAATGACTAAATACAAAATACAGTAATATACACCAAATCCTTGATACTGGCAGGGTTCAGATCAAAGTACCTTTTGGTAAATTTTATTTAACATTTAAAAAATTTAAAATTGGGGCTGGAACGATAGCACAGCAGGTAGGGCATTTGCCTTGCACGCAGCTGACCAGGGTTCGATTCCCAGAATCCCATATGGTCCCCCGAGCACCGCCAGGAGAGATTCCTGAGTGCAGAGCCAGGAGTAATCCCTGAGCATTGCCAGGCGTGACCCAAAAAGCAAAAAAAATTTGTAAATAATAAAAATTTCAAAAGTATCTTTAGAGGGATCTATAAGTTGATATTTAACTTTAATGATTACTACTCAATTACCTTTCAGAAGTTATAACAAAATTCAAATTAATCTTTAGAAACATTTTTATGATTTGGAGATCTCATGAAAAGTTCATGGATTAGAAACTCATCTTTGTGGCCGGAGCAGTAGTACAGCGGGCAGGGTGCATGCCTTGCACACAGCCAACCAGGGTTCAGGGCCCGGTATCCTATATGGTCCTCTAAGCACCACCAGGAGTGATTCCTGACTGCAGAGCCAGGAGTAGTCCCTGAGCATCACCAGTGTGACCCCAAAAGCTAAAAAAGTCTCATATTCTCTGTTTTGCATATAACCCTTATCCCCTTCCTGGGTAGATAGTCTAGGGTCCAGTTGTTAGCTGGTTTTGGGGGTGGTAGTGGGTTCTGAGTTATCCTTATCAGGATTTAAATTTGTAGGATTAGTAATTTTTCCTTTCCTCTGTGTTCTCCCACCCTTAAAAACAAACAGAAAACCCTCGGCGCAGATGATATCATGTTGGCAAAGGATCCTGCATCTGGCATCTGTACTCTTCTGTATGACAGTGCACCCAGTGGCAGGTTTGGCACCATGACCTACCTCTCCAAGGCAGCTGCCACCTACGTGCAGGAATTCCTGCCCCAAAGTCTATGTGCCATGCAATGAGGCCTTTGAGCCCTGGCTGCTGGAGGGCTTTTGAAAGCTGGTCCCTGCCTTAGTTGATTGTACAAGAAACTTAAATGTGATTACCTGATCACTCCCACCCTGCCCCCTTTCCCCTCCCCCACCCACAAACTGTATTGGTAAACTAGTTGCTTTAGAAGAAGTGAACTCTCACCTGGAAACTGATGCTCACACAGGTGTTTCAGTACGGGCCTCCATTTTTTTTATGGTTCATAGAAGCTTGCATGCATTTTTATTCTCTCAGTCTATTACCAGCTTAGTTTTCTAACTTCTGTCTGGGGAGAAGGTACTAATGATAACTTATTCTAGAAGTTTGCTTTTTCTTATATTGGCTACATTGTATGTTTAAGGGAATGGGGGCTGAAATATTATCTTAAGTGAGGAAACTCAAAATTATTGGATTTTATGCTGCTATAAATTGGAAATTGTATTCTAAGTGCCTTATCTTTGGAAAAGAAAGTACTCATGGGTCCCTTTTATACTCATATGTGGCCTCATACTGAGTAACCTCACAACTGTGTAGAATTACTGTCATCACACATACTCTCATTTTTAACCATATTTCTTACTCTCCCTCTGTGAAGCATCAGTAAAAGCACATACGATGTGTATATTTAAGGATTTCTATATTAACACTGGAAATCATACTTTATGAAGATTGCTGGTTTTCAGATATAGTTGCAATAGAAAATGTATAATAACCCAGAGAAATGGAACATGGAATTTAGTCAATCTCAGAGAGAAAGGATGATGAAAAGGATATCTCTGGTTAATGTCTTTTATCTAAGAGAGCAGAGAGGGAATCAAAAAATGGAGAGCCGTATGCACCCAATTTGTATTTCTGAAGAGTGGTCCAACACACACAGACACACACAGACACACACACACATACTACATTGAATCAACTATCTTTGCCAAAGAGCAGTCCAACAATTGAATCTATTCCTGCTCCACTGACCACTCTTTCCTTATCCTTATCTGGATCTGTCTCAGTTCCCTACTCATGGCAATATGCAACCTCTCCCTCCCAAATTCCTTGTCCTCCCATTTGTTCATAAACGCTTTCACTTATATTTCCACTTCCTAATTCTAGAACTCATGTCCATGTGTATCTTGGAACCTGTATAAATAACTGCATTTTTGTGTCTCTAAGTACACATGTAAATTTTTCTGAAAGTAAATTATTTTGATGTGTCTGTATATCTATATATATATATCTGTATTCGATGCACTGGGTTGGCATGTAAATATAAATGTTATGTGTGTGAGCGGGAGGTGTGCCTGTATCCTTAAGCTGACACACAAAGGTTAGTGGAAGAATCCTGAAGTCCTTTTCATTTGTCCCATGTGTAGATTGTTTCTCCTCTCTGTTTTAGTCAGTTTAGGAAGATATAATAAAAATTCCAGACACAGTAACAACAAAGTCTCCAATGGAGACGTTACTGGGCCCGCTCGAGCAAAATAAAAATTCCATACACTCTGTTGCTTAAACAACAGGAATTTATTTCTCATGATTCTGGAGTCTGGGAAATCCAGGATTGAGGTATCACCAGAATCTGGGTAGTTGGGTTAGGGCCCTTTTCCCAATTTTCAAGCAGCTCCCTTCTTGCTGTATCTCCACAATAGAGAGCACTTAGGTCTTTCCCTCTTCTTATAAGCATATGAATTCCATGAGGGGGGTGTGCTTCACCTTCATGACTTTATATAATCCTAATTACCTTCCGAAGGTCCCACTTCTGAATGCCATAATATCAGGGATAAAGAATTCAACATTAGAAACTTTGGCTACACAAACACTCAATTCATAGCAATTTCCTTTACCTGATTTTTTTCTGTAAACTTGGCTAGTTTTGCTGTTTTCACTCAGTGAACTCCTACTACAGTCCTCTCAGTTCCCTCCAGTTTTGGGGCGGCGGGGGGTTATAGATGATTTTTTCAAAAAATGAGGATGGGTGATTCTCTAAATAAATATTAGTCAATGACTCTCTTATAAATCCACTTGAGTAAGTAAGCACTGGATATAGGGTAATAGAAAATCAATAATGAACACAAAGAGAAGATGATCAACCTTTTCAGCAACTCCCTTGAACCAAATGGAAACACACAGTAAGTAGCTTACTGATTATGTGATTTTTCCTAAAACTATCTCTTCACTGGAATATGCAGAAGTATGCAAGTATACACAACTTTAAAGAATATATCATGAGGTACTCGAGGTAAAATCACCACTCTCTCCCACATTAATTTTCCTGAACTGACACTGATGATTGTGTTTCTCTGGGTTTTAGCAAAGTATCTGTCATTGTGTTCCTCTTACAGTACTGTTTTAAAGCGAATTTTGGGAAAACTCAATTCATATTTTGTGATTTTTAGATATTAAAAAATGTGTTGGATAAAAGCAGCAATGCATTGGAAACAGAATAAAGAATTAGAATTTCCAATTAAATTATGTGTAGTGCTAATGTGTAAAATTTTATGTGTGTTTTATTACTGTCGTTTATTTTATGACTCTTTATATCTACCACATTTAATTTACAGTAGAGTCAGTGTTCACTAATTTGGTCAAAATGTGATAAATTAATCCATGCTATATAGTATCCATGTATCCATGTAGTGTATAGGGGCTGGAATAATAGCACAGCGGTAGGGCGTTTGCCTTACAAGTGGCCAACATGGCCGACCCGAGTTCGACTCCTCCGCCCCTCTCAGAGAGCCTGGCAAGCTACCGAGAGTATCTCGCCTGCACAGCAGAGCCTGGCAAGCTACCCGTGACGTATTCGATATGCCAAACACAGTAACAACAAGTCTCACGATGGAGACGTCACTGGGCCCGCTCGAGCAAATCCATGAACAACGGGAGGACCGTGACCGTGATAGTATATAGATCCTACATATGTATAGTGTATAGGATCTGTACACTATATGGATACTATATATCTATATAGTGTATAGATACTATATATATCGTATATAGATACTATATACTCTATAGATACTATGTAGTGAAAATGTAATTTTGCTATAATGCAAATCCTGGCATATTGCAGTAACAGCAAGTCTCACAAAGGAGATGTTACTGGGCCTGCTCGAGCAATTCGATGAACAATGGGAGGACCGTGACCATGACCGTGATCGGCAAATCCTGGCAAGCTACCCTTGACATATTCAATATGCCAAACATAGTAACAATTGTCACAATGGAGACGTTACTGGGCCCGCTAGAGCAAATCAGTGAACAATGACAGTGACAGTAGCAAAGTGATAGTTTTATTGTGTAAATGCCTAATTAGTCAAACTGGTGTCACTAAATTTCAGTGAATTTATTGATGTCTTTAAGAAATCTGTTCTGATGAATCGAAGACTGGTTTTTACTCAGTATTAAGATTCTGTGCAAATGGTATTTCTGCACTACTAAAGAACACTTAAAAATTGTTCATTTTCTGAAGTATCACAAATAGTTGGCAGAATCTTATTTATTCATTGGCCTTTTGGGTAACAAGAGAAGATATATCTGGCAAGACATTGTTTAATATCTCTGTAATCCCATTCCGTTAATTTCTATTTCCTCAATAAAACTCCTTTCCTTCTAAGAAAAAATGTAATTCTATATTCTATGAACTTAATTCAGGGGGGGAGGCAAAAATACTTTGTAAACACAGCTCATAAAAACATGTTGTCCTATTTTGTTCTTACCTGATACCTGGGCTGGAGCGATAGCACAGCGGGTAGGGCGTTCGCCTTACAAGCGGCCAACATGGCCGACCTGAGTTCGATTCCTCCGCCCCTCTCGGAGAGCCCGGCAAGCTACCGAGAGTATTCGATATGCCAGACACAGAAACAACAAAGTCTCCAATGGAGACGTTACTGGGCCCGCTCAAGCAAATCGACGATCAACGGGAGGGCCTTTACCTTTTTACCTTTACCTGATACCTAATACCCATACGAAGGCCTTAGAGATAAATACAGTGTTTTCTGTATTTACTTATATTTTCTTATTGAACTTGAATGACCTTATGTCTTTATTTACCTATTACAGTCCCCATTTATGACTGTTGTCGTGGCATAATTATTAATAGCACTCCTTGTCACTCTCAAAAGCTTCCCAGTTTGGATGATGTGGTCACTCTATATTTAGCAAAAATACAATCTTAAGTCTAGGCATAAAAGCTGCCAAGAACCTGTTCTCAAACCACAAGTAGTACTCCCATCGTAGTGGTGGTGGTGTGGGGTTGATACTAATAGTATGGGGTGGAAGACTTTTTTTAAAAACTTTTAAAAAATGATTCAGGTTCTGTGATTTACAGTATTGTTTATGATGGTTTCCCAAGCACATAATTCCAATAACACAACCATCACCAGTGTAGCCATCTTCCTCCTCCAAGGAACTTAATACACCTCCCTTTCAAGTCTCCTCAGCACCATTCAGCTGTTTGAGTCAGTTCAGGAGGGACACTTTTTTAAACTATTAAGAAGTATTTGGTTTAGTCCTTAAAACAAATAGTGATCAATATTTCAGTGGTCAGAACAGGACAGTGCAAAACATTGTTGCACAAGTACTTTCCATGACTTTCTTCTTCATGGTCTCCCTGTGATATGCTGTTTTCATCTACATTTTACAGATGACTGAACTGAGAGACTGAGTATTTAAGCCAATTGTATGAAACCAAATAGCTAGTAAGTGGTAGGACTGTGGTATGAAGCCATGCATTTTAACTCTGGAATTCACATTCTCAACACTCCAAGTACAAGACACTAGGAAGTGGTATAGAAACAAGGGCTTTCTGTTCAGTACCTTTGAGGCATCACTGGGCAGATTGTGGAATGCACAAAGAAGGTGCCTTAAAGAGATTTGCTTTAATTTTGTTTTCTTGGCCTTCTGCCTGTTTCTGTCAGAAAACAAGGGCTCGGAAAAACACCAAAAGGGGAGGCAAAGACCAGCCTGCGACTTTGCTTGTTCAAAGTCAGTTAGGGGGACTGGAGTGATAGCACAGAGGGTAGGGTGTTTGTCTTGTACGCGGCCGACCCGGGTTCGATTCCCAGAATCCCATATGGTCCCCCAAGCACCACCAGGAGTAATTCCTGAGTGCATGATCCGGGAGTAATCCCTGTGTAATGCTGGGTGTGACCCAAAAAGCAACAAAAAAAAAGGGAAAAAGTAGGTTAGATCAGTTTGGATAGAGAAGCCAATGATAGTTGTAAATGATCACTCTGAGCAAGAATTGAATGCTGAAAATAGTAAATAAATATTCATGATAACCTTTCAGTACCTTACTGCAAACCATTACAGTGAAAAGGAGAGAGAGAGCGAGAGTGAGAGTGTGAGCAAGAGTGAGAGAGTGAGCAAGATAGAGAAAGGTGCCTTTGGAAAGGGAGAGGCAGACGGCGTGAGGAGGTGCAATGGGGGGAAACTGGGGACATTGGTGGTGGGAATTACACACTGGTGAAGGGATGGATGTTGGAATATTAAAAATAACTTCTGAAAGATTAAAAAATCCCAAAATTACCATTAGCCAACATTCTCACGAAGCAGTGGATGGGGATTCCTTTTTTGCACATCCAACTCAGCACTGATAGACTCTGTCCTTTTTAATGTGTGCCAACCTCACTGATGTGAGGTGATATTTCTTGTTATTCTGATTTGCAGTTCTCTGATAATACGATGGATAGCATTTTTTTAGATACCTATTTTCCTCTATGTCTTATTTAAAGAAGTGTCTGTTCATCCCTTCTCCCCATTTTTATTAATATTTAATTAAGAAATAAATCAATATTTTATTAAATATTTTGTTAATCTTTTTTCTTATTCATATCTACAAGTGTTTATATGTCTTGGATATTAACCCATTGTCAGATGAGTGGTGGGAGAATATTTTTCCCATACTGTGAGGTGTCTTCTAGTCATTTTTTCTTTTGTGGTGCAGAAGCTTCTTAGTCTTTTAGTAAAGAAACTTAATGAGACAACAACAAATGGCCAAGGGTCACTTGAAGAGTTGGTCTACAGATCTGAGCTTCCTTGGGAAGGGGGTGGGAGAGAATTCTTTGGGTGATGGTGGGAAGCAGCCACTTCTGGTGGTGGGTATTGGAGTGATATATGCATGAAATTATCATTGACAGTACCTCAGTAAATATGGTGGCTGTTGTGGGGTGTTACCATTAGCATGAACAGTAGAGGAAAATCAGTCAGGTGGCTTGCTCAGAATCATCCTGCCAGTAAACTTGGAGCCAAGATTTAACCTGTTTCTCGTGACCTTAAATACTCTGATTGGGGCCAGAAGGATAGTATAGAAGGCAGGGTGCTTTCCTTGGATGTGGCCAACCTGGGTTTCATCCAGGTACCCTATGTGGTCACTCAAGCCCCATGAGGAGTGATAAAAAAGAAGATACTTGGGGTGAGAAGTATATTACAGTTTCAAGAAATTGAGAGTTTTAAGAAGGAAGACCTTGTAACAATGTATTACAAAAAGGTCACACTATCCTCTGTCATTAGGAGCACAGAACTAGGAGTCAGCCCTTAGTACTGCCAGGTGTGTCATCAAAACAAAAAAACACCCCCCAAATTATCTGACTGGAAATCAGTTAGAGATTTCTTTCTAGTATAAGGACCCTATAGGCGTCAAGTCTGCAGGAAATTTGAGGTTAGGGGCCTGTGGTATAGTATGTGCTCTGTGCTAATCAAGATTAGGACAGCATCCTTGTGAGTTTTTCTGTAGAAACATGCTGTCAGTGTATCTGTTTCCATAGTTATCTTGCCACATTGTATGTCAAACCAAGATACTAGTTTGAGTTTAGAACTGATGTTCAAGTGATGCAATCTTCAACTAACCTGTTGCTAGATCTGAAAGAATGTAGAAAAAAATCGATTTTAATGTCAAGAATATCAGTCTGTATTTTAGGGTGTCAGTTGTTATTCTGTATCCTGCCCTATTCCTTCCTCTGCTCATACAGGAAGGCACAATAGGACAAGTTCCATTTCCTTCTTGTCATTGACATCCTGTCATGATTTTCTCCTCCAGCCAAAATATATGCCTCAGATCCTCTGTCCTTGCTGTCTATAAACATACATATTTCTCTGTTTTCCTAAAAGTCATTTCTGGCTCTGACATCACTTCAGGCTAATATATTAAGTCACTTTCAAAGTCAAATTTTTTTATAAAAGAATCTGTACTTGACAATTTTGACCTCACTCATTACAATTTGACTTCCTTCCCTACCTTACCCTTTATTTCCTATAGCAACAAGGAGCTCTTAATGGTATTTTGATCCTTTCGTAATACATTGTTACTAGGTCTTCCTTCTTAAAACTCTGCACTCAAGAATCATTCCTGACGGTCACAGGGGACCATATGAGATACTGGGAATCAAACTAGAGTCAGTTGCATGCAAAGCAAGCACCCTACCCACTGTAATATCTCTCCAGGCCCAAACCCCAAATACTTTTTTGCATTTTTTTTTCTCTTCTTAACTTCCACAAACAGGTGTT